GCAGCTGATGATGAGGATTAAGATGATGTTGATAATGATGACAATGAAAGATTGCTTCCATATTAAAAAAACTTAATAATCCATTCAATTTGACGTTTGCTTTGACTAACTGTCAGTTCATCAAAACTCAGTATGTTGTACGTGTGTATGTATTTAACGAGGTATATGAATGAATAAATAAACATTATATGTCTGGTGTGGAGTGTGTGTTTATGTGTGTGTTTTTTTTCTGTAAGTGCGTGTTAGTATGTGATTGTTTTTTGATTGGTTATATGTGTGTAGATATACGGTAAATGAACATGCATGCGAAATTGCAAAATAATGAAAAATAATGAAAAACAAGAATTGATAATAAAATTGATTAAAGTTTTTTCAAAGAGTAACACAAGACTGAGAGATGAAATGCGAGAACATTAAAAAGTTACATAAAGATTTGGTTGCAATTAACCTTAACCTTAACAAAAAAAATTCTATTGGGGGCTCAGCCCTAAAGGCCCCTTCTCAACTACGCCCCTAAGTGGCAGTAATAATATAATTAAAATTATAATACTAGTAAAATAATCTATGTAATAGTTATTATTACAGCTTAAAATATTAATTAGCGTGAAAACTTCTGATGATGAAAATGCAGTTAGCTGATAATTAGCTGGAAGTTATTATGCTGTGGAAAGCGAATCATTCTAATGTAATTTAATATTTCATAACCAGGCATCCAGATGGCTCTTATTGATGCCTGGCTCTCACGGCGGGCGGGAACTGGGAATAAAGCGTGTTCGGATATGTGTGCGTGCGTGTGTGCGTGTACGTGTGCGTGTTTGTTGGGTTGTATTTGTGTTTGAGAGTGTCTTTCTATTATCTTGAAACAATTTCGATGGAACTGAAAAATGGGGTAAAATAAACAAAGAAAATAACTTAATTACCTAATAAGAAAAAATTAAAAAACAATAAATAAACATAAAGAAAATGAGAAGGAAAATTGGTATGGCCTGTTAAATGCAGGCAGTATTTGAAAGGAGTCCAAAAATGGAATGTAGAACTTGGCACGTGTGAAAATGTCGTAAAAATGTATAAATGGATTCTCTGGTGGCACAAAGTTTTTAAAAAAACTTCAGTTATAATTTGGGTTTGTTATTACTTATATACATACATATATACATACATGCATGCATGCATGCATACATACATACATACATACATACATACATACATACATACATACATACATACATACATACATACATACACACATACATACATACATACATACATACATACATACATACATACATACATACATACACACATACATACATACATACATACATACATACATACATACATACATACATACATACATACATACATACATACATACATACATACATACAAACAAACATGCATACATACATACATGAACCAGACATACACGTTTGTATGTTTCTAAGAAATAATAATATAATGAAAAAATTATATAAAAAACAAACCTGAGTGTTTTGATATTAGAATAATTTTATTTTATTTTTTAAATACTTTTTAAAAAACGAGGTTTTTTTGGTAGATTTTTGAGGGTAAAATAAATTTTTCTTTATTTGTCACTTCAATTTTCCTAAAACTTTTTTAAAGATTTTTTTTTACAAGCATGAAAATCTTAGTTACACACACTTCCATGTTGTTTCCACACATTTATTTGCCGGCCAGGTCAATGCAACGATCAAATGTAAGTACATGCAAACGAGAATGATGATGACATTATTTAGATATATATTCGGAGGCGGTTAGTGTGTGGCGAAAATGACGACGACGTTGTTGATGGAGTGACGTTGATGACGACCTTGGCAGCAGTAGCAGTAGTGGCAATGGTGGCAGCACTAAAGATAATACTGTTTACAAGGATGGCGATGAAGATGCAGGTAGAGATAGTGATGGTGATGTAGGTGGAGATGAGCGAGTTGTGAAAAGCAGGCGTCAGGTGGTAGTAATTTAAAATTATGAACTGTTGATCGCTCTTGCAGCGGCTTGCAGCTCCACCTAATATGACACGTCGTAATGTGGAAGTGGACGATGACGACTACTCGTTGGATATGATGGTGATTTGATGATGAAGATGATGGCGAAATCTCGCTAATGATGATGGTGTTGGGAATGAATGTGTGTTGGTGATGGTGAGTTTATGGTGATGAAAATGATAATATTTTGATGCTGACGATGGCGATCACCATTTCGATAATAACTGTATTATCATATTTATGATGATAATGAGTATGATCAGATGATAACATTGAAAAGATGGTGATGTTGGTAGCGGTAATTGTAGAAGAATTTTCTATACAATTTTCTTTCAATAAATAGAAATAATTCAACTTAATTGCAGCTCATAAGAGGCAAAGTCTGACATTTTAATCAAATTATCGTCTGGAATTGTGATGCAGGTTGGCCTTTAATTTTGACGCAACTGCTTTTCCAGTCACGTAATGTAAAGAAAATTGTTTGTAGAAAATTGAAATTACGGGTTGTTCTTTTAAAAATTGTTTTTGAGACAATTCCTGTGTGTGTGTGTGGACAATTCCTGTGTGTGTGTGTGTGTGTGTGTGTGTGTGTGTGTGTGTGTGTGTTGGAGAAAGAAAAATAGAAAGGTGGAGAGAAAGAGAGATGAAAATTGAAAGGTAAGTTCAGAAAAAAAGAGAATTGTAATTGAAGAATCGAAAGTTTACAAGTTATTATTTCACACAATGACGATGTCATCATGGCTGTAGTTATGTTGTGGACCGGCATCATCGTCCTCCAATACTCGCCATAATCATCATAATTTTTTAAATATTGTCATCACCATCATCAAATCATTGTCATCATCGTCTTGCACTCACATCATCACCATCCTCCAATATCACCGTGATTATTATTATCATTTTCATCATTTTCATCCTTTTACTCCTCCTTATCTACTTTTACTTTTCAATCTCCTTCATCACCATCATCTGTTTCATCATCTTCTTCCTCGCCATCATCTGTTCCCTCATCACCTTCATCGCCATTGTCGTTGTCATGAAGTAGATTAATGTAATTGCCGTTATCATCTGAGTCATTATAATCACGACATCAACATCATAGCATTAGCATCATGATATTAACATAACGTCATGACATTAACTTAAATAATGAAAAATTATATTTAGTTGAAAGACGCATGCAAATGTTACTCACACAAGAAATGAATAATTCACATTAAGACAGTCAATTTACGTCCAATTTTTAAACGTTATTTCATGCCTGAGTACTAGTGTGCGTCCAGGTATTTGTGTGAGTGCGTGCATGCGTGCGTGTGTGTACGTGTATGTGTGTGTGTGTATGTGTGTGTGTGTGTGTGTGGTGTGTGTGTGTGTGTGTGTGTGTGTGTGGTGTATGTATGTTAGCTTTAATATATTTTCAAGCCATGTTTTTGTCCCGAAAGTATTTCGTTCTAATTGATTTGTTGGAAAGGAATTCATTCCACACAGGCAAACTGATGCTTCTTAAACAAATTAATGAATGGAAACACTTTATTTATATCTGTCTTCCTGTAGAATTTGTGGTATACACATGTATTTAAGTGTGTGTATGTGTGTGTGTGTGTGTGTGTGCGTGCGTGTGTGTGTGTAAGATATGTATGGCTGTGTGTTTATGCACGCGCACGTAAATAATTAGTCTGATCATACCAACGACGGAGACGACGACGACGATGAAGACAACAATAATTTCTTGATGACTATGATGATAATGACGGTAATGCAAATGATGAAGTGTGGATAATAAAGATGATGATGATGATGAGACAAATGACGATGATAACGACGAGGATGATAAGACTAGGATGATGATGCCTTGCATGGGATTAAGGAGGATTTTGTCTTGAGATGTTGTGCTGTGCATATTTGCATCAGTTGCTGCAGCAACAACAAATGCGCCAATAAATGAAAAACAACGACAACATTAAAGATAGACACAATGCATAAAACAGCAATACTTCTATAGAAACAACAACAACGACACCAACAACACTCACATTAATTTTTCGATACAAAACATTAAAAACACTAATAAAACAATTAACATTGACTGCAGCTTTTATAATAATGAAAAATATATGCTATAAAAGTAAGAAGATTATTCTGCTGGGAGGTCTTCTGGTTCGATTAAATTACTTTTTGTCGTCTGGTGTACTAATCTACTCAAAAAAAACAAATGAATGAGTTAACATATGGATGTATTGTATTGTATTATGATAGTATTGTTTGAATTCTACTGAATTGTTGGCATTAATCAATTTTAACTTTGTTTTTCAATTTTCTCTACTAAAATTACCTGGAAATTGTCCAATTTATTGAAAATAAAATTATCATCCAAGTTCATCATGAAAATTCAATGAAATTACTGTTATTATCCAAATTATTATCCAAATGCATCATGTAAATAAGACCCTATTTCGATTTTTCACAATTCATCTTCAGTGCAGCCATGGTTTAAATAGCTTCTTTAGACAATGCGAAGTTAGTTGCTTAGCCAAGTGAGTTACTTAGTTGGTGTCGTATTTTTCATCTTCTTAGTTGTTGTCATTTCTTTGTTCTTCATTGTTATTGAAGTTAGTATTGAAGCGTCGAGTTGGTGATGCTGTTGTCATTCTTTATTTGATGCTTATTTGGAATTTATTGATATCTATTAGGACAGCTTTTTCAATTTTTAGATGTATTGTGTTGGTGTTTTGATATATTATTTTTGTGTTGTTGTCAAGAATTTGGCGGGTTATTAGAGTTGCATGTGTTGATTGCAAGTGAGATTTGATGGCTCCTCTTGTGTATGCATTGTGAGACGTCTTGATAATGAAGTGGTCGTAACACCAATATATTATATATATATTATATGTTATATATATATTTATACATATGATATATGTATAAATATATACGTTTATTTATTTATTTTCACTGACAGTCAAACAACAATAATCCTAAGTAGTGACCGGCAAAATGTTTCACAACTTTGAATACAACAAGACAAACAACAACAGCAGTAGCAGCCATAAAAACGACAGCAACGATAATAAAATTGATACCTCCACGGACAATGGTCATTTAACTATAAGCATCAAAGGAACCACAAAGAACTCAATCTCCATTGGCTGGACATTGAAACTACGTCACAACGACTCTCAACCAATCACGTACAGCAATCTATCGATTAGTTATCAAGCGGTTGGTAGTTACGTGAAGCAGGATGTGGACTTACTGGACAACCAGCAGCAACGCAACAACGTCATCAACAACGTCATCAACAGCAACAGCGTAATTAATAACATTAACAATTATGACATCAAAAGTCTTCACGAGAACACGCTGTATGAGATCTGCTTCTTGGTCGAGGTTTCCACCTTTCCAAATGCTTCGTCAACGATAAATTGGCATCAGAGCATGCCAAGACGTTTGCACGGTCGACAATCGAATCAACTTTCGGAAAGGTTGCGCAGAGCAAAAAGATTTTTAAGTCATGATAGTTATCGTTTTAATCACCTTCCTAATAAACATTTTCTTCATCTTCATCATAATCAGCAACGTAATCTTTACTACAGCAGTTTTCCATTTCAAAACCATAAGCTTGGTAGATATATTGATATTTATGACGGTGGTCATCGTCATCATCGTTCAAGTTATCATCATCCTAATCATCTAGACCATCTCAACCATCTCAACCATCGTCTTAATCATCCTCGTCAAAATCATATTTCACAAAGCCGCGCATCTAAAAATTCACTTAAAGTGCTCTCAACATCATCACCATCATCAGCATCATTATCATCATCAGCATCATTATCATCATCACCATCATTATCATCATCACCATCATTATCATCATCACCATCATTATCATCATCACCATCATTATCATCATCACCATCATTATCATCATCACCATCATTATCATCACCGGATGTGCAATCACGTGATATCATTAAATTTAAATCAAACAAAAAGCGTCGAAGCAGCGGTTGTTTTCATGACAACGCTGCTCTAATTAGCGCTAATTTTGTCAACGATGAAGACGGTGATGACATTGATGACGAGAGAAATAAAGGGATTATAAATTTAAAATATGATGATGGTGATGGCGAGAACGTCAGGAATGGTGATGATGATGATGATGAGAAGGAGGAGGAGGGGAATGATGAAGATCAGACCGGAGGGAATGAAGTTAATTTGCAAGTTGACGTTAAGGATGATGTATACGATGATGATGATGACGATGATGATGATGATGGTGATGATGATGTCCGTAATGATGACGACGATGATGATGATGTCCGTGATGATGATGACGACGATGATGATGATGTCCGTGATGATGATGACGACGATGATGATGATGTCCGTGATGACGATGACGACGATGATGACCGTAATGATAAATCTGAGAACGATGACGATGCCGACGACGATGAAAAAACCAACTCCGATATCAAGAGTATCGTCTCTAATAATGATAGTATCAAATCGGAAAACAATATCAGCAAAATTGACACGGACAAAATTAACAGCACGAGCCAAATGAAGAGAAGCAGTATAAACAAAATCAACTACAACGTCATAAAGAAAACCGATAAGGTCGGCATTATCAGTTTCATCATCAAAAAAGAACGACATAACAAAAATCAAGGCGTTGTAAACAACAACAACAACCAAAACAACCACAACAACTACAACAACAACCACAACAACCACAACAACAACTACAACAACCACAACAACCACAACAACAACTACAACAACCACAACAACAACCATTACAACCACAACAACTACAACAACCACAACAACCACAGCAACAACAACAACAATAGTAGCAAAAACGACAAAAGCAATAGCAATAAAATAAACCACAACTTCAACGAACTCAACGTCGACAACAAAAGCGAAAAAATAAAACAACAGACTGACGTTTTAACAGTAAAAACAACATCAACAACAACATCAACAACAACATCAACAACAACATCAACAACATCATCAACTCCAAAAGAAAAAGATCGTAAAGATAATTCAAATGGAGACGGCAAGACGTATAGCATCGCACACACAAGCTACAACCCAAATACACGCACAGGTACATACGCACGTACAGGTATATACAAGCAGACAGACAGAGACAAAGACACACGCAAACGTAAGGGACACAGAAAGAATGCCAACAATGCACGAAGCAACAGCAGCAGAGTATCGATTGAGAGAAACAGAACGATTTACAGCACTGTTTCAAGTCGTAGTTCTCTGGTGCATGGTAGAAAACAATTACACTGCTGCTTTCAACAAAGCATGTCGCAATCATCATTTCCATATCATCACCACCATCGTTATCATCGTCATCATTATTCCCATCCTCACCGTCATCTTCATCACAAATACCAACAGTTTTCCTATCACCATCATCAACATCACCTCACTCAACTACATTGGAACACTACAAATACATCTCAAAACTTATCAAACCGAACTAAAAACAAAACTCCGCATTTTTCAGCAAACACAACAGACCAACAACCATCACTTTTCATACAAAAACAACAACAAAGCAAGCAATTCGTAGGCAGGTCTCCTCGCCAAGTCTCAAACAACATCAACAACAACAACAACAACGTCAACAGCATCAACAACAACAACAACAACAACGTCAACAGCATCAACAACAACAACAGCCTATCTGCAGCTGAAAACTATATCGTGACAAGAGATATGCATCCTCATCATCACCATCCTCGTCATCCCCATCACCCATCATCATCATCTAGAACATTTTCTTACAAAACCTGCATCACAGCGGCCACAGCAAGCGATTCATTCACGGTAGCGCTTGGAAGCACCTTTGGAGCATTCCTGGCATTAGGTGTCATTGTATTTTTTGTTCTTATTGCCAAGTGGCAGCACAAAAGTCGACGGCAGAGGCTGAAGAAGCGATGGATTGCAGGAAACATCGCAGCCGCAAATGAAAGTAAAAATCTTCAGCAGAAAATGAGTGGAGTTTTAAAACTGGAGAAAGGAGAATGCGAAGATGATGAGAATAATTCAAATGTTCTTGCTGGCGCTGCTGATGGTCGAGAGGATGATAATGAAGATGATGGTGATGAGGAAAGCGCTGGAGATGTTGATAATGTGAGCGGAGAAAACTGTTCAAACACGTCTGGCATCAATCTTCTCGAAGCAGAAAATATAGAATTAAAGAACCTCGGAGCGTTCAGTGAACAATTCGTCTTGTTGGACGGATCAAATGAAATGGAAGATGACGAGAACGAGTTGAGTGGGATGGAAAAGCAAGACCGGGAAGCTGCTGTCTCCGTTTTGAAAAAAATTCTACAAAACCAAAGCGTGTTTGCTGAATCATTTGTTATATCCACCCCATCCATTAAAGACGGATGTTCATCCGATAAGCAAAGTTATAACTTGCTGGTACCACTTTCATCAGCCCAAGATCTTCTACCCTTTCTTTCGAAATCTGATCAAAAAAATTTTTCAAGTCCCGTCTTAATGGAATTTCACGGAAGACCAAGATTGAGTTCAAATATTGCCAACAAACAAACACAATCAAACGCCACAAAAATGAGATTGAAGTTCAAAAAGCATTTCACCATTGATTATTCAGGTTGCAAAGAAGATGATGATGATGTTGAAGACACGAACTGCCAAAAGATGAATGAAATAACGAGAAAACAACATCGCAATCCTCTCTACCGCTGCAAACGACTGATGACACCCCAACTTTCAAACATTCCAACCGCTGGGACCATCGATGACGACGACGATGAGTGCGAGGGTCTTGGGAATGAAGATGAAAGAGAAGGAAACGTCGCAAACAATCGAGAAACTGAAAATGCAAACACTTCCGTTTTGAACAAGTCTCAAGAAAATATTGCACCACCCAAATTTTCAGATAGCATCATACCTGATACCACAAAAAAATTAATTCTGAACAACCGTTCAAATTCAAAATCTAATTTTCCGAATATTCGAAATATTATGCTAGAACCTGACGAGATATATGCATTGTTGGAAACCGAAGGACACAGTGAAAACATCACATTGCCAAGATCAAGAAGCACAAAATGGTAAAGCACGTACGTAATTGCAGTTTGGACTAAAAAGCATTCTCTATCTTTTTGGTCCTACTGATTTTACCAACAAATTTTAAACTAACCGATATCTTGTTCGGATTAAAAGTTAATTGTTAACTGAATGCTAGTGGAAGAATGCATTGAAATACGTTAGAGCTATGAAAAGTCATTACAGTCTACATATCAATTTCATTAGGTGATTTAAGAAAAAAAAACAAACAATATACATTTTTGTAGAAAAAATAGTAAAGCAGTTAGCGTTAAACAGTATTTTTCTTAGTTTCCTCTTTTAAAAAACATTTTTTATTAAATATGCTCATGAATTAAAATGTTTAAATGCACATAGATACGTGAAACATACGTTTCGTTTGAAATTTTTTGTCATGTGATACACTTCGAAAACGTTTTAAACTAATTTTTTCAACGTTTTATCGGGCGAATAAACGCATTATGCAATCAACTCTATCTATTTAACTTGCTATATATTTCATTTTTATTTATTTTCTGAATTACGTTTGCCATCAAGTCAAGATTATAATAAACTATGCCATTCAAACTATGAAAATATATTGAGTTGTACGTAAGAGTGTATTCGAAAATTTGAAACATTTTTTCACCAATCTAATCCAATATGATAAGCTTTAAAAAACTTTGTCGACTAGCAGGCAAAATGGCGGTACAGTTAAACTGCCTTTCCTGCATATGTGTGTTATATTTCAATGAAATTAATTGCGTTTCACTGCATCAAATATTGAGAGCAGTATTAATTTGCTATTAATGAAGCTGGTAGAACAACATGAAACGCAAAAATGGTAGGTTGAAACTAAGCATTCTTTTATTAGTCTTTATTCTTACATACGCAGAACCACTTACAACGTTACATATATATAATCTTTTAATGTTCTTCATATCTTCATCCATTGATTTGAAGCAGTCACAGAGGTTGTTTATCCTTTTCACACGACGTACACATGTATTTTATGTGCACGCGCAAACACCGCATCATATACGCTGAGTATATGATAGCCATTGAGATGTGTGACCCAGTGCGCATTTGAACCACTGAGCCATCTCGCCAAATAACATGCGACAACTTACGTAGTCTACCCATCTTCTCATCATGGTGATAATTCTCATTATAAGCTTGAGATGGAAGTTTTGATGTCAGAAATCTACTGTATTTAAACATAACATTATCAACTGGCAAATGGACAATGTTTGCTTTGATCAAACAATTTTGAAAGTTCTTTCCGATAGTTTTTAAATTTAAGGGCTATAAATCAATTTCTCTTCTAAAATTCGAGGCATAATCCCAATTTTCCAATAGTTATAGAACACAAACTTATTAGCTCTAGTCTAGTATGACTGATTATATGTAACAATAATCATTTTATAACTATAGAATTATAAACCGTTTACATAAAAAAAAGACCATGATCTATAATTTTATCTGAACTATATTTCAGCGGATCAGCAAAACTCGACATTTTTAATTTATTTTCTAGACTCACTTTTGGTTTAGTTTGAATTGTGTGCATTTGACAACATAACATAAAGTCTTAAGAACCACTACAAAATAAATTTCCTAGTATCCTAGCTCTCTTAGCTTGATTTTAAAATTGTTGACTGAATCTAATGAAATAATTTCATCGCTAAGCTCGTTCCAGGCGTTTACCACTCTGCTGCTGAAGAATCTTTGCTTTGTTGGATTTTCTGTCTTGAAGAGCTTGTATCAATGTCTATGACCTGACTTAATTTAATCCTTTACTTTTTCTAGTTGAAAGAACCTGGTGAACGGTCATTCTTCTTTTCCAGTTATTAACTTATGTCTGAATCAGATCTCCTCTGCATCTTCTCCTTTCTGGTGCTGTTAATTTGCATTCTTTCAGTCTATCTATCACTATCCCATTCTAGTTTTCCAACTCCTTTTTGATTATTTTGTTGCTCTACCTACGTCTACACTACATGCTTTACTAGTTCAAGAATTTTAAAATTTAAATAAGTAGATAATGGAGTTGTTAGAGTATGAAAAGGAGATATTTGTGGAGTCATTCATGAACGATGGACTTCTTGTTATGGCCAGGTTAAAAATTTTGCTGTTTTATTTACTTTTGTAATTTATATTTTAAAATTTAGATTTAATTAAATTTTATTTATGATAAATATATTTATATTTCTGTAATAAAATATATTATAATAATATATAAATAATTTTAATTAGGAAACTTGTAAAATTTTATAAAATAAAAAAATATACTCATACTGTACTTTTTATTTATCTCTAGCTATAAAATAAATTATTGCCTTTTCTATTCCTATTATATTATATGAGGCCATTGGGTTTGGGGGATATCAAAACTTAAGTTTCTGTTTTGATAATTTTTTTCTTTTTTTTTTTAAAAAAAGTAATTTGATGTTAATATATCTCATTTGTATGTTTTAAATTTTCTTATATTTTGAAAGTTGGATATTAGGATTTTAGTTGTCATAATAATATTATTAATAATTTTCATAATAATAATTATTATAGTAATAAATGTTAATTTATAACTTTGTAGAGGTTTGGGTATCGATCGTATATTTGTTTCTCTGCTGAAAGTTTATAGCGAGCCAACAAATCTGGTTCTCGTGCTCAATACAACTCCTTTTGAAGAGGTCTTTCACATTTTTATTTTCAAATTGTTACTCAATGAATATTCAACACTTTGTGAAATGATTTTCACAGGATTATTTTAGGAGCTTACTTGAAAAAACGGATGCCACATTAATGCCCAAAACTATAAATGCAGATACTGGTACGGCTGACAGGTTTATTTTTTTTTTAATTTCATTCAATTAACATAATTTATTTAATATATAGTTATTTTTATATTCTCCATTATTTATTTTTTATTTTTAGACAGAAAATATATCTGGAGGGTGGTGTGTTATTTGTGACAACGAGAATATTAGTGGTGGACATGTTGGTCAGCAGAATCTCCATAGACCTCATCAGTGGCATATTGGTGTACAGGGCACACAGGTAGGGTTGGTAGGTTGGTGAGTTGGTCGGTTGGTGAGTTGGTTGGTGGATTGGTTGGCTGGCTTGTTGATTCAACTTCTACTGTTTCAAATTTCTCTGTTAACATTTTGGCCAATCAAAGTAATTGCATTTTACTTTACCTGTATATGTAGCATATTGTGTGTGTATTTGAAAAGATGTTATAAATGTAAAATAAATTTATAAATATTTAATTTGAAAATTGGTCCTCATCTTCGACAGGGTTATTGATTCATGCCAGGAAGCATTCATTCTCAGAATGTTCAGACAGAAAAATAAGGTCCCCGTGATTTTGAAACTTTAAAAAAGAAAATTGTTTTCATAAATGTGATTAATTTGATTTAGTAGTGTAGTTTAATTAATTAATTATTTATTTCAGACAGGTTTCATAAAAGCATTCTCAGAAAACTCTCCAAGTTTTGTTCATGGGTTCTGCCAGATTGAGAGGGTCATGAAGAGTCTTTACCTCAAAAATTTATTTCTTTGGCCTCGTTTTAGGACTTCTGTTTTTGATTGCTTTGAAAAGTTCAAGGTGCAAATGACTTACTTTCTCATTGTTTGTTCATTTTAAAGTTGAATGGAATAAACTTTAATCAATTTAAATCATTGTGTGTATGTTGCTACGTCGATTAATATTTGCAACATATATTTATCACCTTTGAGTTTTACAAAATTTTATTGATTACTTCTTTCACAAATAACTTTTTATTAATTTTTTAATAATATTTCAATCTAATAATTAAATTGGGACGATGCCAAACAGATAGATGTGGTTGAACTGCACGTTCCTATGACCGAGTTGATGGTTGAATGTCAGAGCTGTCTGGTTAATCTGATCGATGCATGCATTAAGGAGATCAAGAGGAGTCATGCTATAGTATTTGTGTTTTGTTTTGTTGGTGATGTTTGTGTTGTTGTAGTGTAGGTTGTTTTGATGTTGTCGGCGCGTTGTTGTTTAAGTTGTTGGCTGTTGTAACTGTAGATGGCATTTTAAAAGTGGTCGTTTTTTTTATTTAAAAGTGTCTAGAATTGACTCTGACAAAATATTTTGATAACTCACTTTCTTTCAATTGTGCACTATATTACTAATATACTACAATACAAAAATTAATAACGAATCCTAAATAAAACAAATGAGAAGGAAGAGTGAAAATTCTTTTTCTAAATTTCGTTTCAAACAGCTTGACGTTGAAGAACTGAGTGTGGAATTTGCTCTGACGAAAAGTTTCGATAAGGCCATCAGGTTGAATCTCGATCCAATCTGGCATCAGCTGAGTTCCAAGACCAAACAAATTGTTGCAGATCTGAGAATGTTGAGAATGCTTCTTGAGTCAGTTTGGTGGTGGTGTTGTGGGATTGTTGTTGTCGTATTTGTCGTGTTTGTTGTCTCTTGCTGTTTTTGTTTTGTTGCTGTTGAGTTTGTTGTTGTTTTTGTGACGGGAATGGCGATGTTGTTATCATTTAAATTAATAGAGAGTAATAAAATAGAATAAACATCACCAGGGATCTCATACAATATGATTGTGTACACTTCAGCAACCAAATTGATTCAATCAAGTATGTCATGTCTAAAGTTGATGTTGACAGTGTTGTTGCTGTTGTTGTTGTTGCTGCTGTCGTTGTTGATGTTGTTGCTGCTGCTGCTGCTGCTGTTGTATTCGATGTTATTCTTCATTTGTTTATTCATTCGTCAACTAACAATGACTCACAGAATCAATGAAAAAAACTTCAATTCAAATGTTGGCTGGCTGTTCACAACATCAGCTGAGAAGTTGTTCACTGTGATTAGTTCATTTTTTATACACGTTTTCAGTTACATCACGCCATGCCATTAAGTTTGATATTAATTATCAAGTAAAACTATCAAACATCTCAACATAGTAGTAGCAGCATCATTAGTGAAAACAAAAATGTTGATTTTCACAAAAAGTAGAAATACCAAACGTCCAGTCATTTTGATTATTACGTCAACGAAACAAATCATTCAGCATGCCAAAGATCGTCTGGGATTGAAAAAAACCTCGAAGAGTAACACGCTCGACGTCGAGCTCACTCCAGAGCTCAGTCCAAAACTGATTGCACTGCTGGAAGTTCTCGATGAAGTCAGACAGAAGTTTGAAGAATTTAAAGAGGGCAAGGGTGGAGAATTATTGAAGGCGTGCTCTATTGAGAAGGTCAAGGTTCTTGTTCTGGCATTGGACAAGAGGACTTGTAATCAAATTACTCGGGTTGGTATTATTGCATCAGTTGTTACTACATAGTAATGTACTTGTTTGGTGTTTAAGCCTCTGGTAAAAACAGATATTGTAGAATTTGTAAAATTTTAAATTTTCAATAATTTTTTTTAAATTAGACATTTAAGTTTTCCTTTTGAGATAATCAAACCATTTAAAACCTGTTAAAATTTTGCTTACATTTTTTCTCTTTAGTACATTCAAGACCCAAGTGAGTATCTAGAGAGGTTGAAAGATAATTATTCGAACATAAAACTGACTCTGAAGCAATTCCAGGTTAGTTTTGGAATCGTTTAATGATTCAGTGCATTTCATCTTCATTTCATTTTATTTTCGTTCATTCATTCTTCCATTTATTTGTCTGTACATTCTATAAAATGAAAAGATTTTATTTTAAGTAAATCGTAAACTTTTATGATTTTCATCAAATAAACTTTCAATGTAACTTCCTACCCACAACTTAATATTTGACCTCATCCTTTCAACAGCAGCCTGATAAACCACCTGACAAAAAGATTAAAAAGGCGCCAACAAAAGTGTGTAATTGTGTTGTTGTTGTTGTATTGTTGTAGTTGTGTTGTTGTTGTAGTTATGTTGTTGTTGTTGTGTTTTTGTTGTAGTTGTGTTTTTGTTGTAGTTGTGTTGTTGTAGTTGTGTTGTAGTGGTATTTTTGTTGTTGTGTTGTAGTGGTGTTTTTGTTGTTGTGTTGTTGTTGTTGTGGTGGTGTTGTTGTAGTTTGTTAATTGCTACTTTTAAGTTTACTAAATTTGTTGATCTTTTTGACTCTTGCTGTGGTTGTCCTTTCAAAGTATTATGAAAATATTGAATTTTATGTCTTAAAATTGCTGATTGTGATAAAATTTTTTTCTATAGTTTCTGATGTGAAATATTGAGAACAATAAAACATTCACTGAATCTGAATTCTACTTAATTCTTTGTTGCAACGTTTCGAAACTTTACCTACCCAGTTATAATTTACTCGACTTTTATTACTCAACTGACCAGTCAGCATGATATGTGATAGAAAAATCTCTGTAGCCACGCAAAAACAAAAAAAACCTAACAGAAGAAAGTCCAGGAAACATCAACGACAACAAAAACAACGACAACTACTACGAAAGCAGTAGCAGCAGCAACACCATTATTACAAACAGACAACAGTAACTCGATAGCAGCCTCACTATCGACAACAACCGACCGCCTGACGTCAGCGAGCAGCACCATCCTCATCCATCCTCTCACCAATCAGGAAGATCCAAACGAACTTCGAAGACTCCTCCTTCTGGAAAAACCTCACTTCATCATCCTCTATGACGCCCAAGTCACGGCCGTCAGAGAGATTGAAGTCAGTGAGGGTGGCAATCAATCAATCCATTAATTAGCCAATCAACCAATCAGTAAATCAATCAAATATATTTATACAGCGTATTTTTCTACAGATTAGCAAAATAAAGTATTTCTAACTAGTTAAATGATTATATCAATCAATCAATCTTCGTTTAGCGTCCAGAGACCCAGTTCCATGAGGTAGGACGTAGTACGATAATAGTAATAATGAAATTATAAGCAGTTAAAGTGCAAATGATGTAAGGGAATAAACGAATATATATAAATATATACATGTAAATATACCTGATATGATATGAATGATGCTAACAACAATGATGTTGAGTGGTGATAATATGGGTGATAATGATGAGTAGGCCTAATAGCGTTTATTTTCCAATGACTCCAGGTGTATAGGGCGACGCATGCAGTCGAAAATGGTGTCTGTACACTCATGAAAGTTTACTTTCTGATGTATGCCGGCTCTACCGAAGAGCAGAGGTTAACAGATGATGATGATGGTGACGGTGACGACGATGATGATGATGGTGATAATTATTGAAACAGGGATGATGCTAATTGTGGAAAATGATTTTATGAATTTACGAATGTCGTAGCAATGAGAAGTTGATGAGTGAAAAGATGATGAGTGAGACGATGATGGCTGCAATGTGGACGATGATGATGATAGTCTGCTACGGTGATGATGGTACAGTCAGCGATGGAAATGCTGTTCATTCTTTATTGCATATTGACCAGATATTTAACAGAGTTGAAGAGAGAAAAAGATGCCTTTGAAAGTCTCATCAAGCAGAAAGCCGTTGGTTTTGATAATGATGATCTCTGTGATAATAATGCTACTACTGATTGTAACAATGATGATGGGGGTGATTGTGGTGATTATAATAATGACAACGACGACGACGATGATGATGTGGTTGCAGATGCTAATGACGATGAGGATGTTTAGTGCCTACCCTAGATATGCTGCGTGCTTCTTGTTGACATCTCGGAAAAATGTTAACAAAAAAATTGTAAAAAAATTATTAATTTCGTTTTGATTTGTTATTTTGTTAATAAGAAAGAGTTTTATGACGCTGCTATGTAGTATCCCAATTCTCGCGCAGACGATGGTGATCCCTGAAGAGCGGGAAGGCAAGTTAGAAGAAGACAAAAGTCAGTCAAATCAACCGACAAATCAGAGTTCTCGGAAAGGTGGCCTGGTCAATTCTGACCAATCGCAACAGCCGAAGGTATTTCATTTATATATTACGTTATTTTTATGCCAACTGTTTATGTTTTCGAAATTAAACTTATAATTTGAAATAACAATTTTATTCAGATTCGATAAATTGTCTTCATTTTTTTGTCATAAATTTGAAATGTTTTTTCGACATGAATTTTTTTTGTGCGTGCCTACAGGTGGTTGCCGACATGAGAGAGTTCAGATGTGAGCTACCATCATTACTTCATATGAGAGGCATGTCTATTGAACCAATCACACTGGAGGTGGATTTATCGCCTGTTGTCTGGCTGATTGATTGGTTGTCTGGTTGATCGATTAATTGATGAGTGAGTGAGTGAGTGAGTGAGTGAGTGAGTGAGTGAGTGAGTGAGTGAGTGAGTGAGTGAGTGAGTGAGTGAGTGAGTGAGTGACAATTTTCCTTTATAAGTCATAGCTAAAGTGTTTTTTTAAATTATTCCTATAATTGTTAGAGTTATATTATTATAATTATTTATTATTATAGTAGTTAATAATATTATTAGTTATTATTTTTGAAACCATTTAAAAGGTAGGCGACTACATCATAACGCCAGACATGTGCATAGAGAGGAAGAGTTTGTACGATCTCGTCAGTTCACTGAGCAGTGGAAGGTTATATAACCAGGTAGGTCACCATCACTTCTATCATAATTTCAACTTTTCATAAATAATTATGAGTCATTATATTATTATTATTATATAAATTATGTTTAGAAGGTTCAATTAAACAAACTATATTTAAGAAATGCGAGTATTAACATTTTCACGCACTGAACATTATGTGCAGGCACGCACGCACACTCATACACACGTTTCTTCATTTCTACATTTGTGAGAAAACAAACACATAAAATTGCCAATGACATTTGGAGTTTACAGTTGCTTAGAATAGTAGTGGTATGAAATTTTATTAATTTTTTTGTGTTGTTGCAGTGTTTAGCGATGTGTAGAACATACAAGAGACCGATCCTACTTGTCGAGTTCAGCCCCAATAAACCATTTACTTTGCAGGTTAGCTGGTTGATATTTTTGCTGGTTGGTTGGTTGGTTGGTTGATTTAGTTAGTTGGATGGTTGGCTGGCTGGCCGGTTGATGTGGTTGGTTGGATGGTTGGTTGGCTAGTTGATGGAGTTGGTTGGCTGGCCTGTTTGGTTGATTTTGTTTTTGAGTGAGTTTCATAATTCGTTGCCGTTTTTAACTGATGGATTGGTTGATGTTGGTTAATTACTTCAATCCATTCAGTAGAGTCAGAAGATCAGTTAGAATTTTCAAAGAATTAAAAAATACCGTTAATAGGACAAGTATCCCATGTCCAACGAGATTAATTCAAATGACGTCATGTCTAAGCTGGCCCTGCTCACCATCCACTTCCCCAAATTGAGAATCCTCTGGACGCAGAGTCCACATGACACGGCTGAACTTATTGAAGAGTTGAAGGTCATTGTCATGATGACGTCATATTTATGACGAAGTCTCTGCGTTGATGATGTCTTTTTGATTATGAACTTTTTGTTGTGGCGATGAGGATGCCTGTGACGATGATGATGATGATGATGATGATGATGATGGTGATGACGATGATGATGGTGACGATGGTGATGATGATGGTGATGACGATGATGATGATAGTGATTTCATGATCATCACATGACGGTCTGAGATGGTAGTTTTATTTTTGAAGTGTATCAGGCTAATATAAATGTTGATCCTGCTCGTCTTAAAACATTTCATTTTTATTCGTTTCCTTCATTCTTTATCTATTGTAATATGATAATAATAATAATTATTATTATTATTATTATTATCCATTATTATTATTATTCATAATAATATATAATTTTACCTTTTTTATTTTGTGAAGCTTGGGAGAGAGCAACCAAACGCTGAAGATGCCGCCTCGGTTACTGCATCATCCGAACGTGGTTGCGAGGATGAAGCTGTCATCAGTTTTGATAAATATAACTCCACGCCACAGGTATGCCTTGTTTGTGTGTGCGTGTGTGTGTGCGTGTGTGTGTTGGTGCGTTGATAATAAAGATGAGATAAATATGAAAATGATGATGCTGATGATTATAGCATGAACATCGGTTTCTGAGAAGATGGCATCCATAGTTAAAGATAATGATCAGTAAGGATGATGAGGTTGACGATGATGAGGATAACCATATTTTGATTTTTCCTCTCTCCATTCACAATGCAGGACATGCTATCGAAGATGCCAGGAGTAAATAAGAAGAACCTAAACATGGTGATGAACAAGGTGGAGAACATTGTTCAGCTATCTCGGATGAACATCGACGAACTGACTGAAGTCATGGCAAACAGTTCACAGGCAACCCTACTCCATCAGTTCCTCAACACAAATTTAAATGCAACTGTCGATGATGGTTGTGGCGGTGAGGGAGATGATGTTGGTCGTTCAAAGGACGGACTTTTGAAAGATGGTGAGGATGGTGCTTGTGGTTCGATGCAAGAATTAAAGAGAAGAACGAATGGGGGGAAAGAAATAATTCCCGGTAACAAAAATTTCAAACAGAAAAAACGTTTCCCTCTTACTAAAAAAACGTGAATGCTGTAAAAATTTGTACATATTTGTGATTTTTTTTTTCATTTTTATATAACGGTTTGTTTTGTATTTTCTCGTCACATTGCATGCACTTCTTTTGTTTTGTTGATGAATCGTCGCACGTAAATTATGAAGCGTTACCGCAAAAAATAAAATTGTTACAAAACATGACTTGTGGAATATATAACACTGTTATATATATATATATATATATATATATATATATATATGTATATAGTTGTGTTAAATGACAAATAGCGTTGTTCCTCTGTACAATTTCGTTATCGGCCATCGATCGTTTCGAACTGTTGACACGATATCTTGTATAGGTTTCCTTTTCAAGATTAACCACTTTCAGAATTTATTTTTTATTTGGCTCGCGGTCTGTGTTGTTGTGGTCAACCAAATTGCACCAGGTAAACTTCGACGACAGCGCAGCGAACACCTTCCATGCATGCCATCCACGCAGTACTTATTGTCTACCGCTTCCATTGTTCTCAACCATCTTTCCAATTGTGTTTTTTTTTCGACAGCGTTTTTTTCATACTAATGATATTACTGCAATTGTTTTTTGCGGTTTCATTGATACAAATGCCGTGGTCGCTTGTGTCGACCTATGTTCCATCAATATTCCCCTATATAGAAATAAGTAATTGTATTCTGTTTGTGCCTGCGTGTGTGTATAAATGCGCGTATATAAATGCTTGAGTGCATGCATGCGCACAAGCAACATACATCCACATACACACAATTCAAGCAACATACCTCCGCATACAAACAATTCACTCGTCTACACGATCACGTATAAATACACCACGTTATTTTTTCTTTGCTTGCTTTTTTATTTGTTTGGATGTTAGTGCGCGTGTTTATGAGTTTGTTTATGCCGATTTTTATTATTTGTTTTCATGCTGCTTTATTTCTCTTTCATCACTGCAACTCCTCATTTTATTGCCAGCATGTTTCTTTTATGAGCCAGTTTTTTTTTCTCAATGATCTTTATGATTTTTTTTTCATTTCTTCTTTCTGATTTCTACCTAATTTTTTTTATATAGTTTTCTATTTTTGATTTTTTTGTTTTTTATTTCTGCTATTTTTTTCTGATTAAGTTTCTTTGTGCGGCTATGTTTGTGTTTGTATGTTTTTTGTATGTTTGTTTGTTTGCTCTTATTTCTACGTGTGAACTTGTTGGTCGCATCCATGTTTACATTAATAATACTTAATTTCTTTCCTTCTTTTTAAACTTGCTGCTTGCTTCGTTGTTTAAAAATTTTTCAGCGCTTTTCTTGAGTCGACCAGAGCAAAATTTTTTTTATAGATTTTCCAAACTATTTATATTTTTGGCACTAACAATAAAGTTGTGAGTAATTGAAAAACTGAACGATTGACACCGGGATTACATGCATACAATTTCTAGATAGTTTCTATGTCCATGATTGAAATTGGAAATCCCTTTAAGTATGTTTCCGAATTAAGAAACGATTTAACCAATTTAGGAGGAGGAAATGCAGATTCAGCAATATACAGCAGTCAAATTATTTTTTGTGGGTCCACACATACGAACAGATTTGTATGTTACCACTCCGACAAAGTTGACCAAAATTTTGTTTGTCTCATCCGATGTTCAAACCACATCGAGATATACTCCTATTGGTTTTCTAGATTTTTAGATTATTTCCATTAACATTGGTGCTGTTTTTATTTTTGGTATGTAACTTTTTTCTGTTTTTGCTTTTTCTATACTGTTTTTTATTTCATTTTATTCTGTGATACTATTCTTGCCAAATATTTGTCTGTTTGTTGTATGTATTCTGCTTATTTATGTTTTGTGTTGCCTGTGGTTATTTATATAGGTACGTCATTTGTATGATTGTTACTTGAGTATGTTACTTGTAAAGATTTTTGTTGGTTGATTTTTTTTATTTCATGTCTCTGTGCGTGCTGTTTGTTTTTTTTTTTCTTTTTTTTTCTAGTTCGACGTTTCTGAGAAACGGCAGAACAAACAAGGGGGTAATCGATACATTTTATGTTCTTGCCTGTTTGTCTGTCTGTCTGTCTGCGTGCATCTCTGCTGTTGTCTAGGCGTCTACTTATATACCAGTGTATGTCTATCTGTTTGTCTACCTGTCTATTTCATCTTATCTTTTGTTACTTGCTGGTCTAGAAATATCTGTGAAATAGTACAAACGAAAAAAATAAATCTGTTTTTGTATGCTTGTGTGTGCGCTTGTGTGTGTGTTGTTATGGTGGTATGCTGTTTAGTACCATCCTATGTTCGTGTATTCACGTTTACACAGACATCGGTTTGGCGCATATTTGCATTATATAAGATATATAACAGTTACCCTCGAGTTGGTTTTGAAGTAATGCAAATTTTGCAGCTGCATAAGTTTCCATTTGGAAAAGTTTTACATAACTTGGATCGACAGGCCTGGATTCACATATGAGCTATAACCCAAAGCGGGAAATTTAAGGGTGCGGCAAATTATGACATTTTAGAACGATAGTGATATCATTACTTATATTAAACTGAACCGTTTGTTTATCGACCCGAGTTAATAGAGAAGAAATTAAACTACAAAGTTTCACTGATTTAAGTATTTTTTGAAGCAGGATTGGATGTGTAAAAGGGGCACGAGACCTGAGGCCTACATCGGTACTGATGGAAAAGATGGGGGTGGAGTTATATAGAGAGCCCAGGATCGGCAGATTTTCAAATCCACTTCTGGGCATCGACTTATTTGATCTCTATGGTAGTCAGTGAAGAACAAAGATAAAAGAACAATTATTAATATTTAATCTTAGGTTAATAAATGTAACATGGTTAATAGTACCTGTTTGAAATTGAAACCTCGACGATCGTGCCGGCGGTTTGTGGATAGCAGTTTACAAGCAAATTGATTAACCAAAAAAATTAGAGTTGACCAATCAATCAGCCAGCCAGTCATTCATTGAGTGAACTAGCTTATCAGCCAGTCAATCAATCGATTGGTCAATCAATCAAACGATCAATCAATCGATCAATCAAACGATCAATCAATCGATCAGTCAGCAGTATTAGCATGTGCATCGCCGTGTAAGAAGTGCCCATCAAACAAGCAATGCAGATTAAAGGAGGCACTTTGATTAATTCAATTGTTGCTTTACAAAAATACTCCTTCATTGGTATGCCTTTGTATTTCTGTGCATTTGTTGTTATGTTTGTATTCTTCTTTGTATTCGTGCGTATTCGTTTGTATGTTTGTTTGTTTGTACAAATTTTGTTATGGTCATCCTGCTTTCTTTAAAATTTTTTAATTTTGAAAAACAAATAAAATTTCGTTTCGTTTGTTAGTATGTGTTTAAGTTTTTATATTAGTCTATTACGTCTTACGCTAGTGTCAGTAAAATTTTGTATCTATTTTTATACAAATGTATTCGTACGTACACACCACACCACACGCACACACATATATATATATATATATATATATATATATATATATATATATATATATATATATATATATATATATATATATATATATATATATATATATAATGTGAATGTGTGTATGTTTTTGTCTAAATTTGTATATATATATGTTGTCGTAGTTTGCAAATGCGTGTAAATATTTAGATGTTTAAAAGTTTTGAAGCTGTGCATACGTGCGTAAGTTAGTTTATTTGCGCAAACTATGGTGTTCCATGTGCAGTTGTGTTTGTATGGAAAGGATTTGTATGGTGGTATGTGCGTCTGTGTGCGTGTGTAAGTAAGTGTGTGTGTGTGTGTGTGTGTGTGTGTGTGTGTGTGTGTGTGTGTGTGTGTGTGTGTGTGTGTGTGTGTGTGTGTGTGTGTGTGTGGCCACTTGAATAGGATTGTGTACAGAACAATTATTATTACGTTTGTGGTGTTTGTAATTGTTTAATTGCTGGCATTGATATTCTAATTAATAAGTTTTTTGTAACTTGCCCATGCGCTGTTGGGCAATTGATCAAAGGAGAGTTGGGCAGATAGGGGGTTTGAATCTTGTTATGGATTTGTTTGTTGTATGTCTGTGCATTTGCGTGCGTGCTGTGTTCTTTGAATCATTTCTCCTGATTGTTTGTTGTGTTTGTCGGCATTTTTTGCAAACGATTTGTTGTCTGCGTGTGATGCTATAGTTCATATAATTTATTTTATAGAAATGTGTGTATGAGTTGAAATTTATCTGTCTGCATTTGTTTGTTTGTTTCATTCAGTCTGTGCGTTCGTTTGTTTTACTGTTGTGTTAATGCTTTCAATTATTGCGTTTGTGTTTAGACCGTAGATAGCTCCGCTCATGTTTTGCGATATTTTGAAAATTCATTGTTGCTTCTGAATTCAGTGATGTCTCTAGAGTATTATGTCACTGCATTATCTTAACTCATTATCATTTTGTGGTTGTGCTTGTCTGCGTATGAATGCGTTGTGTGTATGTGTGTGTGTATGTGCGTGTGTGCGTGTGTGTGTGTGTGTGCAGTTTGCATGCGTGTGCGTAGTTTGTATGCGTGGTGTGTATATGTGCACATCTCATTAACTGCGCAGTGGGAGATGCAGAAAGTGTGTATTGTATGACATACCCCAAGGCTTCTTCCATGCATATACACACATACATGCAGACGTGCGCGTGTGCATGTATGTGTGTATATACAACTTACGTATATAAAAGCATACATGCATGCATACTTAGACATACATAATGCACATACATGTATACATACACAGACCTGTGTTTGTGTAATGTTAATCTGTACCCGTGTTTATGCAAAAACAAATGTTTATATGTATTTTTGGATATTTATGAATGCATTAAAATGCATGTTCAAACGTGTGTGGGTGTGATGTGTGTGTGGTTGTGTGTGTGTGTGGTGTGTGTGTGGTTGTGTGTGTGTGGTGTGTGTGGTGTGTGGTGTGTGTGGGGGGGCGCATTGGAAGGTCATGTATGTGCCTGTGTTGCATTGTGTTAATTTATATCATCGTAGTTATTTTTATGTGTGGGCCGTGTATGTATGTGTGTGTGTGTGGATGTGTGGATGTGATATGTATAAGGATGATGTGTGTGTTTGTGTGTGTGGATGTGATATGTATAAGGATGATGATGACGACGACGATGAAGATGAAGACTCTAACGATGATGATAACGATGATGATGATAGGTGATGACG